CAGACAAGAATTCCAGTTGTGTTTCAGAAATCTCAGGAATGTTGGCGTGCATGTTACTGGGCCCTGAACAGTGCTGATTTTACACTGTTTTCAATGGGGCTTGAATCAGTGGACTGGACCCTTCAGCTGTAATTCCTTGCTCAGGAGTATGTAGAAGAGGAGCATGTGTCATTTGGCAAAATCATCTCCTTTCTGACTTCCCTTCTCAAAGTTTGCTATCAACTTAGCATGTTTAAAACAGGGATACTTTCATCTTGCCAGAGTGGCACTATCTGTGCATTTTTTTTGGGGGGGGGGGTAAAAGTGCATTCAGTTAAGAGGTTCACGTCAAAGGCAAAAGGTACATGTACTTCACAACATCAGAAGCTGTGAACTGGCATCCATACATTTTGAACACGAGGACATTTTGTTCAAAGTTATCAAAACTAAAGTAGGAAATCCATCAAAAAGTGGTCAATAGTTTGTGTTAGAATTATCCAATGATAAACACTTTGATTTTTTAACTCTTTCCTTGGATTGCATCTTCACAGGATGTTCAAGTTTTTTTGGGGGGGGGGTTCCTCTCCCATACATATTCTGTATTATATTTGATATTGGATATTTTCAATTTTGCAATGGTGTGTGTTAGTATATTTCTTCATTAATATCAAATTGTATGAAGTTTATTCAGTTGTGTGTGACCATAGGTCATGGGATGTGTCCATGGTGCTTTCAGTTTCATGCTTATTGCTTGTTGATCTGGTTTACAATATTGAAACACAGGATGCCCACACTGGGTACATGGGATTGTTTGTACACGGATCCATAATCCTATACTCTTTAGGGTCCATTGACAGTCACACTTCATTGGTAATAACTGCATATTAACTGATGGAAATGACTTGACGGAGGTGTCACTTGCATGGGCCGCTGATTAACCAAAAAAAGACAGAGTTTCCAAACACAACAACCTCACCCCATCCTCTGATTCTGTGGTAACCCTGTCTTTTTTTTTTTTCTGTTTCTCTGTTCAGCTGTATCAAAAGATCAAGAACAAAGAACTGCCAGCCAACCTGCCGCAGACTGACCACTCGGCGGGAGGCACCAAGGCTGTGGTGGAGTTTAGAGCCTCCTCCTGCGCCGTGTACGAGAATGAAAAGAAAGTGCATATCGTGGTGGAGCGCTTTGGACTCATGAGCGTCCAGGCAGTTGTAAGGTACACAATTCCCTCAATATCATCTTATTTTTAATTTTAAAAGAAATTTATAAGTCATGAGGCCAAAGTTCAATCAAAGAGATGGGGGAGGGAAGCAAGAACGTGAAATTCTCAGAATATCAACATTTTGATGAATTGTTGGAATGGAAAAGCCAGATTTTGGCAAGAGTTTCATGGTGAGGCAGAGTGAGAGAAGAATTGGAGAAGAGCTTCACATTGTTAACCCTTGGTACATGTACATGTAGTTCAGTGACCTCGATCTGTCTGACTCGGGTCATTTAAGTGAATGTGTATGCTGTGACTTTTTATCCCATGTTGTACATTTCCCCTTATAAATGCCCGTTGCCATGAATCCACTGTTATTTATTTGATTGCTAAATGTCCCACCTGCTAGTCTAGTCCCGACATCTCTCCCCGGGACATTATCAAGCTATTTGTCCCCTCAGCCATTATCAAGCAGGAAAATGCAATGCCCAAAAGCATTGGCGCATATCACAGTCAGTGTCAGTGGCTCAACCTTCAGAGACTTTCAACTCTGAAATAGCGAAGAGTCACACATCCTTACCAGTGCTGGGATGGCAACTACATGAATGTTTGACAACGGTTCACTGAACTGTGTCCAATAACTTAAAGTAAGACAAACTCTTTAATGGTTCAGTTCAGATACTTGAATTGAAATATTGAGCTCCTGCATGCAGTACCACCTCCAGCAATTCCTTCTGTATAGTTTTGGAATTTGTGGGGGCGTGAATGCCTTTTGTTAAACTACATGTGGATCCTGTCTCCAGACGACCATGTACATTTTTAAGTGAAGCATTGGCTTGCAAGCAGTGTGCACCAAAGTTTTATTGTCAAGGGTCACAGAAAAGACTTTCCAATCACCCGGAAATGTTTTACTTTTTGAGGAAATATTTGACATTTGTTAAGCCTTTCACTGGTTCCAAAACTGAATGTAAATTTGTTTTACATGTAACTACATGTATAAAAAACTCCCACCTGAAAAGAAATGTTGCTAAATTAGCTATTAAATTAATGCAATGACCAGTTATTAAAAAGATATGTAATACAATACTGATGCAAACTGCTTGCTGACTATAATGACCTAAAATACAAGAAATTGGTTTGTGGGTACACCATGGAATCAATCTCTTTTCCGTGAGGTGTGGTTCTTAAACATGTTAAAAGAACCGGTGAGTGTTAACTCGTTGTTTCGGCCAGTGTGCTGTGGCTGTCCTCAGGCGAGTGTGCCGGACTGGAGTTGATAGCCTGGTTATAAAGGTAATCCAGAAGCGGTGGGGCGTGGAAGGGGATTCTCGGGCTGTGTAACTCAGGCGTGCACTGTTGCATGAAGGTGTTGGATCCTGTGGCAGTGTGGGGTGACGGTGTGGGGACCCTTATGCCAAGGGGAAGGGGACAACACCGTACCCCAAGACATCGGTTTCAAGCTCAGCGACATCTGGCGCCCACTACTAGCACCCAAGCAGACACCCACTCCTGAGCAGTAGGGTCCCCCATACCCGAAACCCATACCCCCACCCCAGGCGTTAGGGTCTTCTCTACCCGAAGCCACCCCCGTCTCCCCCCTTGGCATAAGGGTCCCCTGAAAAACTCTGGTGTCTCTTCCATCATGCAAAGCTTCATATCTTACTGATCTAAAATACAAATCTCAAAATATGGAGGGCCTGACGTTTTGATCCTAGCAGAATCTTTCTCAAAGGCAAAATGACATTGACAAGTGGACAGGACAAAAAAGCAAACAGAGAATCATTCATGCTGTCATTTTGCCTTTGAGAAAGATTCTGCTAGGATCAAAACGTCAGGCCCTCCATATTTGCAGACAGATTTTTTTAACGGTGAAAAAGCAACATTAGAAAAAGTGCAGCGTTTCCCTACTTCCTTCCCAAAACAAGAAGCCCAAATAAGTCAAATAAATCAGTACAATTACATGTATGTGTACTGTATGGAGTTTGCTTAAACCAGTCATTTTCATAATTTATTCTTGATATTTGACAACTGAGTGGTAATCATTAGGTGGCACAGTTATAGAGACGTAATCTCATCGTCCATTAAGTGGCTCCACTGCTGTTTTCCAATTGTGATGTGTTCGCCAATTGCGCCATCATAATCAATGCTGACCTTGTTTTAATTGCATATTTTAATCCTATAGTCTGTTAGCAGACTGACGGCCCCCATTATAGGTGAAATTTTATAGAGTAGTTTAACAGACATGAAAAGATCAGAGTTCATAAATGTCATTTTAGTCAGGTGCATTTTGATAATTTTTTCCCAATAGTTCTGAATTCTCTAATTTTTCACACTTCCGATAGGGTGTTTGATAAAGCGATTCCCTAAATAATGGAAAAGTTGCTTTGCATTCATAGACAAATTCAGTGATTGTAATACTGTCAAAAGTCATTTTCAGTGGCCCCCGCCAATAACATTAAAGTTTGCGATGACTATCGTATGTACATGTACATATACATGCAGCCATTGTGCCTGTGATATTATATACAAAATCCAACAATGTGCTTTCCACCATTAAAGGGGGCCATCAGGAATATGCAATAAAATGTTGCTGGATTCTTCTAAACCTGACTCCCATCGGCTCAATAATCCTGCAGGTATGAGACGGTTAATGGCACGGCAGAGGCTGGCTCAGACTACATTGCCCAGCGAAGCACCCTGGTCTTTGAGCCAGGCGAGACGGAGAAGATCATCGAGATTGAGATCATTGACGATAATGAGTGGGAGCCAGATGAGACGTTCTTTGTCAAGCTGGCCATGGACCCCAGTGAGGAGGCTTGCCTGGGACATCGCTCAGTCATGCAGGTCATCATCATGAACGATGACGGTGAGACTTGAGTCAAAGTCCCAATTTCATGGCACTGCTGAGCACATGATTAAATTCACTAATAGAGCCTGGATCTGCATATTTCATGGAGACTGGAAGCAGTAAGCAGAGTAAAAGCCGCGCTTGCTTAACATCATGCTGAAGAACAAGTGTGGTGAAAAATTGGTCATCTTCTCCAAACTCCCTTGTGTTTTGTACACCATTCTCAAGAATTCCTTTTTATTAGTCCAGTGGAAGCCATTAGTGACTGTACAAACTCTGGTACTAGATCTCCCGGTATTGGGTTGTTTTAAACACCTGTGCATGGTACGGTATCCTTTCGGTAAAGAGAAATAATTGTATTAATATGCCTAGCTTTAGTACTCAAGGATTGTTATCAGTGTGACAGTACAAAATGTCCGTCCATCTGAAGTAAATTTGTTTCTGCAAAAATGTGTCGACATTTGATTGATTATTGATGGACAATCTTTTATCCCCCAGAGCCCGGAGTCTTTGAGTTCACCAAGACCAGCTACCTGATCAAGGAGAGTGCGGGCAGTGTCTTTGTCCCCGTCAGCCGTAACCAGGGTGTGGACGGCAAGGTGGAGGTCCAGTGGCGCACCAAGGACATGGAGGCGGTCAATGGCAAGGACTACGTGGGCGGGGAGGGCACGCTGGTCTTTGAGCACAATGAGAAGGAGAAGGAAATTGAAATTCCCATCATTGATGACCAGGAGTATGAGAAGGATGAGAGCTTCCAGATTGAGCTGTTTGAACCCACAGGCGGGGCCCAGCTTGGCCGGCTCAAGAAGACGGTGGTGACCATCATCAACGATGATGGTTAGTCTTCTCTCCAATTACAATCTTCACTCTTTCTTTTACTTTATCCAGCCTGCACAAAAAATAATAGTGGGTAATAGTCTATTTTGTGTAAAGATCCTCCCTTGACGAGCAGTGGAAATGGTAAACCATTTGCAAACTGATATATCATGCATAAGCAATTCCCATTGAAGAGTATCAATTTTCTGTTGAATTAAAATATATATTACGTAAAATATTACCAGAACATAAGTAATAGAAAACTGCTGCAAACTGCTTGCTGACTACAGTGACTTACATGTAAATACAAAAAATATGGAGGGTCTGACGTTTTGATCCTAGCAGAATCTTTCTTGTAGAATCTTTCCCTTTGAGAAACATTCTGCTTGAATCGAAACATCAGGCCCTCATTTCGTGAAATTACCACGGAGAGTAAATGCCTCACCACTGACTCCAAGCATCAGGAAGGCCCCTCGTAGTGGCAGAAGCACTGTGCCAGCTGCTTTCACTGGATGACTCGTCCTGGACATTCCCTTTTTCCCCCTGAACACACTCGTTCAGCCATTAGGGGATTGTCCTGAAAATCATCTGTTCACATACATGGCCAGATTCATCAGTATTTGCATGGGGAAATATACCAAATTACTCCAACACCACAGAAAACTGTACCAAAGTTACATAAGATCCCTGCGGTTGTCCAAATTGTTTCCCGACACAGTGTTGACGTTAAAAAGTTCATGAAAAATTCAGTGCAGATATGTACAGAAAGCAAAGCACGAGTTTTGCATTACAATGACTCACCGGGTCCACTTTGACACTAACATTGCAGTGTCCTACCTTTTTTTCTTTCAAGCCTTTCAAGTCTTTTTATTTAAAACTCACCCTTCTGAAATAGTTTGATATTTTTCCCGAGGCTTTGATTTGCTTATGAAATGCAGATTATGCTAGCATCCTGGACCGAGTGGTTGCTATCACTCACGTCAACATGGACCGTCTTAAACTTGGCAATGCCTCCTACGCTGACCAGTTCAAAGATGCCATGAATGTCAATGGCGGCGATGTGGAAGGAGCCGGGGCACTAGACTATATCATGCACTTCCTGACTTTTGGATTCAAGGTAACGCTGTCATGGGCCCTCTTCTCTTTCTTTGCCTTTATTCTGGACGTAAAATTTTATTCCAATGATTTTTAAAAATTTACAATTGTCCTGCCAATCTGCCCTGGGGTGTGTTTTGGAGACCCGTAACCGAAAAGTGTTTGTGACATCAAAGTAGTAACAAGGAACATATTAAGGTTGGCCCACAAAAATGAAGAACTAGAAACGGTTACGTGATCAGACAGAGGAAAGCACAAGGAAGCAGACGACATTGTTGATGAACATCATTTTCACTCAATATTTGACAGGTTTCTGATCAGTGCTGCTCTCTCTTTTCAGGTTTGTTCTAGAAGAAAGTATCTCCTTAATTCGCTGCATGTAACAAAAATTTGTAAAATGTATAATTCACTCGTTTGAGGGACGACAAAAATTGCCTGTTTATTTTCTGCCATTTTGAACTGGCGCAGAACCAACTCCAACCTTTGGTTCTTGTTCGGTTGGAACAATGACGTCACAGAGGCATATAAACCAAAGTCACAAAAATGCTTAACCAGTGACCAATGCTGAAGCAAGTTCGTGGTTGGGGTCGCCAAAGCATGCCCCCGAGCAGTACCAAGAGAGGATGCAAGTTTCCCAGGAACGGAGGCTCCTTTACTGGGAACTGCACTCGCTGGTTCTGCCTTGCCTATGATATGCACACATTCTGACATTACAGTCACATCGTTACCAACAAAATGAGCACTCCCCACTAACATGGCTCTTTTCAACCAATGAGGGGGTGCTTCTGCGCATGGCAGATGGGTTAAACATTGTAAATTACCGTTGCTTTTTTAACTGTCCACTTACAGAATGTAGGTTTTTTTGGGGGGGGGGTTTAACATGCAAACTGCATTTCTGAATGCCGTCTCTTTGCTCAATACTTTGGGGCTTAGCCTTGCCTTCAAGACTGCATAAACCCTGTGATAAATTTGCAGACTCTGTGTTCTTACCAAGTCAATTTTTATTGTATTAGTCAAGTCACAAGTCATTTTTCCAGCATATCTGATAATATCATTCTGATATCCTTTTATTGCTGATTTAACCTCTATGTACTTGTATGATGTCTCGCAAACAGGTCTGATCCTTGGCTTCATTTTTGGCATCATAATAAGCTTGTATTTCTTGTGATAAAACATCAGTTTTTATCAGTATCAGAGTTTTTAGTTTTGCACATGAAAAGTCACAGATAGCCCCGGAACCTTTTTTCTTGTACATGATTTATTGAAACAAAAGTTGGTAATATCAAGTCAAATTTGTTCGAGTCAAGTCAAGTCACTTCTCCTAAATCAATCTCAAGTCAAAATAATGGTGATTTGAGTCTGAGAGTCTGAATCAGCACGTCAAGTCAGCAACTCTGATCAATAGACCACTTCTTATTGTTTGAACTGGTTAGGTATTCCTTTCATCCAATCTCTTCCCGCTGTCATCGTTGCACAGGTCATCTTTGCAATTGTCCCGCCACCGGGATTCCTCAACAGTGGTGGCTGGATCACGTTCGTCTGTGCCCTTGGCATGATTGCCATCCTGACGGCCCTTGTCGGGGATCTTGCCTCCATCTTTGGCTGCCTCATCAACCTGGATGCCAGCATTACGGCCATCACCTTTGTGGCACTGGGCACCAGTCTACCCGATCTCTTTGCAAGCAAGACGGCCGCCCTGAACGAGAAGTATGCCGACAACTCCATCGGTAATGTTACCGGCAGTAACTCTGTCAATGTCTTTCTGGGTCTTGGGTTGCCCTGGTTGATAGCATCGATCTACTGGGCTGCTAAGGTAAGACAGTTCGTAGTTACAACTTGCCCTGGACACTGCATTTGGTTTGTCTAGACAATTAGTGTCGCATTTCTGAGAATGACTCTTTGCACCATAGACATCTAAACAAAGCAAAACCTGCACATGTTACCACAAACGTTATTGCTGCATATAATCAATGCAGGCTGTCAAAACACATAAGACGAGTTTTGTAGCATGGCGATCGAAAAAAGTAGACTTTTGGCAGGCAGCCCTGAAGACGTTTTACAGGTCCATCCTACGCATTGTACTTGACCACAAGCAGTTTATCACATCTGGGTAAATGCATCAAAATTCCCAGAGGATTTAACACCCCTGCAGGCTTTGTATTTGTGTGTACATAGTGAAATGTGCAGTCACAGATATTAATGGTTGGCACAAAAGGTCTAGCCCATGCTCTGTCTTAATCACTAGCTATTATGAACGTGTACACCGTACGGTTTGGTAGATACATGTGTGTACTCTATGTGTTCGCTGACTTCTGAGGGACGCATCTCATGCATAGGGAAGGATTCTGGCCAGTGGCATACTCCCGTCTCTTAACCCTCCATTTGAGATCTTCAGACGAACAAATGTTCATTGTACGAGCCACAGTTCAGCTACTTTCACTACCCCTTTGCAAAAATGTACACACTCCTGGATATACCCTTCCACCCTCCCCCAAGTGTCACACAACAGTTACAGGGTGTGACGTTCTATCTATTTGTGTCTATTTCTTTCGGTTTGTCTTTACTAGGATGACGAGTTCATTGTTCCTGCTGGTGCCTTGGCCTTCAGCGTCAGTGTCTACACCATCTGTGCTGTGGCGTGCATCATCTTACTCATGCTACGCCGTTTCCTGCGCGTCTTTGGCAAGAACGAGCTGGGCGGACCCTTCGGCCCCAAAATAGGCTGCGGCGTATTCCTGATCTCTCTCTGGGTCCTGTACATCCTGTTGTCATCCTTCCAAGTCACTAAATACATTTTCCCTATTGATGAGTAGACAGGCGCTTACGGTAAAGTTTAGCGTGCTCTGAGATATTTGAAATTTTGGGGGAGACCCGTAATTCCGCAGGGACGGGAGGGGGGATAACTTTGGTAGCCAGGTCTTGACCTTGTGATCTGATCGACCTATTCCCATGTGCCCCATGCACAAGTAACCCTCCACAGCAAGAAACGATCAACATTGTTGCTGCCAAAGAACGTTGGAGTTGCAGTTGTGACCGTGCATCCCTCTAGCAGCAGTAAGTATGGGCATGCGACCAGTGCGATCGACGTACATGCATAACATGTCATTGGGCTCTCTTGAGTCGTCTACACAGTATGTACAATTTTATTGCATTGCATGCAGCCCACAGAAATTACTTCAAGTGTATTTGCCCTTTATAAAGCCCCCCTCCCCCCAAAATGGTGTGCCCTCGTCAAAGAATGAAATATTGTAGGTACGTACAACCTATTTAATGACCAGGGGCCAATGTCATACAGCTGCCTAAGCACAAAATTTGATTAAGCGCGAGAAAAACCTTGCTTGACAAATCAGGTTAACAGCCAAAACTCCATGTGATGTATATTGTTTTGGGATCGTATTTAGCTGTCGTTTGGTTAGCATGACAATAGATAGAGTTTGAGCTGGTAACCCTTGTTTTTTTTAAGCAATTTTTTTTTATGCTTAAGCAAACTTTGTGCTTAAGCAGCTCTATGAAATTGGCCCCAGATCTTTATTATATTTATATTATATACTCCTATCACTTTATATGAAAGCACCAATTTTTCTGGTCAGTGAGTGGTCAAACCTAGATTATTCTCCCAGCAGCGACATTTTATGCCGTAGATTGTGCTATCATTTTGATGTATTTATCATTTTTGTTTCAATGTACGCAAATGTGAGCCTTTGAAAGAAGTTATGCATGATGTACACACAACATGCAAAAGATGGCGTAGCGGGTATATATACTTGTAGTTGATAGAAAGCCAGTCGTATAGTAAATATCCAAGATGATTGACTTCTGCAAAGTCAGTGAGTGATAGCTTAGAAGAATTCTTGCCTCTCCTTCATCAAGGTTCAGGTTGGTGTAGTTTATGTACTGCGTGTTGTATTTATATTCTAAATTTTCATCCAGTAAATCTCACTTCTTGCCAATCTTCTCTGGCCTTGACCTTTTTTGTGTGGAAGTTTATAAATTCCCATAGGGGTGCCTTCAGCGATAAACACTGATACAAACACTTGGGTTCTTTGTTCCTTTCTGTTTGCATTTTCCATACTCGATAGCATCAGTTTTGCTTGATTTAAAAACAGTAAGGGCAGAGTAACATATGCTCATAGGACTAGCGTCGCTCAATCTGTGAAGCAAAGCTCTTTCTGTTAGATTCGTGGATAGGTTTAGAGGAGTGAATGACTCTGACCATGGATTGCAACTACAATCGTTACCATCTTACAATCTTTCACAATCCTCTAGGAAGGTTTTGGGGATCGTGGCAAGCTGAGTAGCCATGATTACTTCACTTGGGGCTTCGATCCAGATCCTTCAGATCCTCTAGGAAGGTTTTGGGGGATTGTGGCTAGCAGAGTCCAGCCACAGTTACTGCCTTTGGGACTTAGTGCCCCTTAGGAATGTGAAAGATAAAACCATTGATTTAGAATTCTTGAGGCCTTGAGTGGTCCTGGTTAAAATGCTCATGAAGTTTAGGCAAAACACTGCCAGGTAGGGTTGATGGGCAGTGAGATTGTACTGCCAACATCTCACCATGTCACTTGTATATTTGCATGAAGTGTTTTTCCTCCAGCTTTTTTCAGTTGTGGGGGGGGGGGAATTGGCTGGTTGAGTGGACAAATCAAAAGTTACAACATTGGACTTTGTACAGAAAGTCAGTGCCAATGGTTGAATCCAAGTTGTTGGACCAAAGATCCAAGATGGATGTGTATCCCAATATTTTTTTCTATTTGTACATGTATCTTATAGAGTCATACATGTACATGTTTCAGAACTCTGGGTCTTTCATTGCAAAACCTCTATGAAGTTTTTATTTCAACAATTTCTTTTTATACTGTAGACTTTTAACGCTTACTTTTCACTTGTGCTTTTATGAGGATAATATAAAACGGTATTTATATGTTTGGAATATTTGTGAACAAAGTTTTTTTCTACTTTTCCAAATTTGAATGGTAAGATAGGCCAGTGCTGCCTTTTTAAAAGTTGTATAATGCTAGTACCAACCGTAGGTAGTCTCGGTAGAAAATGAAAGTGATACACATACTAGAGTTAGACCTAAATGTAGTTATTAAGTATTTTGATGGTGTGCAAATTTTCAACATGTTAACGTGGATTTCTTTTAACTGACTGTTTTTGGAGACGAAGACAGAATAACTAGATTTTTCAGAAACTTCCAGGCTCTGATTTCCTGCTGAGGATTTGAGTTTTCAAGCTTGTAAATACCAGTGCCAGATCATAATGATGACATCAGCTCTTGATTTTGGCTCCTAATGCTTGAAGGTGGTAAGGACAAGTACATTTCCTCCTACACTCGTTCATTCAGAGGTAACATGTCTCCCGTTTTTTAATCCTTTAGCGGTGATACTTGTGGCATGCTTGTAATGAGACTTTGACAATTTGGATTACCAGCTACTGAAAATGCATCCGCTGGGATTGTCCATTTCTGTCATCTTTTCCACATGCGAACCATTCCCGCACCCAGGAGTGTATGCAAGAAAAGGTTGGCCTTTGACCTTTCCTCTTAATTTACAACAGCGTACACAGAAAGCCTGCATTTTGTCCACTCGTGAAAAAAAAAGAACAAAGATGACCCCTTGAAGCTTGCATCAAGCCCCCATTATGAACTCTGGACATACTTGTGGCTGTTTGAGGGTCTGGTCGAAGCTTTTTAACTGATTATTTACATTGAGGATTAGATCAAGCCTAAAGTCATATTAAATCTATGAGCTGTGCCCATTTAATGGGATTGATCAGAGCTTTGAAATGATGACAGCCCTGTGAGGGCTCAAATCAGAGTGGGCCAATTTCACTGTGCCGCCAAGCAAGGAATGTTGCCAAGCTCAAAATAGTCGGTTTGGAATTGGTAAGAGGTTACCAGCTGGACACCTTGCAGTGTACATTGTTTGTTAACTGGTCCTCTGCTGACATCTTCTCAGCACAGATATTTTTGCTTTGCACTGTTTTCCTGGAATCTGGCTTGAATGGCCTGCAAAACAGTCAGCTAGAAGTCTCTTCACTGTCTGAGGGATTCTGTTATCCCTCCTTGTACATATTCTTTGGTAATAGTATTTGTTTTTAAGTGTTAAGAATTTTTATTGTTTTGCTCACCCTGGCGAGCCAAATTGACCTGGAGGTCAAGTTGGTGGTGGAGGTGATGTCAACCCAAACAACATATCATATCTTAAAGTGTCTAAATGAACAAAAGTAACTTTTTTATGGTGGAAATCCAGTATGGGGTATTTGCAATAGTAGGAGTTGTGTATAAAAAGGAACATTTTACGCAGTAAGCAAGAAGGCATTATGCGTATTCGCCAGAAAATTGGTGCATGTATGTTAATGTGTATCTGCAGCAGACACTGCACTAGATGTACAAGTGCATAAATAATAGAAGTTCAGAATGTTTGACATTTTAGACAAGGAGGTTATATGGAGTACATGTAGTTAGCAGTGCTGTGGTCAAGTCAGGAGTCCATTCGTTAATAGATCACAGTTCAGTTCACAAGTCAAGTCACAAGAACATAGTTTACTGGAAAAGCTTGTGACTTGATTTGAGACAGAATGACCCATGATTGATCTGTGAGGACTTGCTGTCGACTCGGCTGTAACACTGGTCAAATTTGATTCATAGAAGTTTCTGTAAAAAGGCATGTACGTGTACCTATTCATTCAGTGAACTCTTTCTGTTCTCTCTTCTGTTTGAATGGTTCACTGAGAGTTGTGCAGGTGTTCATGTAAATTGCTTGGATAGAAGAGGGTTTGTAAGGCTTAAGTTGAGTAGATGTATTTCCGTAATTAACCGGTAGTGTTTACAATGTACAACTTCCTGTGCTGCATGAGTTTTGATAACAGTGAATATGAGAGAATGTTCATCATTCCACTTGCCTTAAAATTCGGCATTTGCTGTAATAATCATGTACTTTGCATGGAGTGTTTTGCATAGATGTCCATGTATTAAACAAAATGAACTTGTGCTGATGAAATACCGTTAAAAAAATATTTTAAACTTGATGATGATGTGGCAAGGTCACTGTAAGTGCATAATTAACCTAGTAGTAATGCTGCGGCATGAACCGTAATGTGGCTAGCAAAACAATTAAGGGGTATACCCCCTCACACTGGATATCTGTATGGGTATTCTTCCATGGAAACTGTCGGCAAAAGCACTGAATGGAAAATCAGATTTTTATGAATATCAAAATTTTCTTTCTTTTGAAGTGAATGTATAGTTGCTGTGTGTTTCTACTTGGAGCTATTTACATCATGATACATATCAGAGAGACTTTCTAAGATGGTGGTATCATTGTAATAATGTTTATGAATATTCATTCAAGGAGCAACATCGTCTACATCATCCACTACTGCTGCTGGGGGGAGGGCATGTATTCAGGTTGTATCTAAAAATGTTCCAGCTCAAGATGATCATAACACATTTGTGATGGTGTGTTTGTATTTTTTCTTGGAATTACACCGACTGTATAATGTAGTTGATGTATTTGGCTTTGCAGCCATACTTGAAGACTTGCTTAGAACAGATTTTTCATGAAGCATTTACGTGAAATTTGACATTGCAGCGTAAAATGTCGCAGTATTGTAGCAGTGCAATGTGTAGGTCCCACATAGTTATTGCTTTGTCGAGAGAACTGCTGAAGGTTTTACCCTGGTTTGCACCAACTCGGCTCTGTGCGTAAATGTCAGTGTTGTAGTTGAGTATTTTCTTCTGAGTACAGAGTACTGCCGAGTACTTCAATTTCTGAATACCTGAAGTGTGAGTACTTAACCAGCCAAGTACAAGAAGTGATTTTCAAGTACGAGTACTTGTACCTCTGAGTATGAGTACTTGTACCTCTGAGTATGTGTACTTGTACCTCTGAGTATGAGTACTTGTACCTACAAGTACTTGTACCTCTGAGTACTTGAGTACAAGTACTTGTACCTCTGAGTATGAGTACCTTGTACATACGAGGACTTGTACCTCCGAGTATGAGTGCTTGTACCTCCGAGTAAGTACGAGTAATTGTATCTCCAAGTATGAGTACTACAACACTGTGAAAATGTGGATGTAAATTTAAGGCTGGGTCCGGAGGTTATATAGCTGCAGCTAAGATGTATGTACATGATGTAAGGCTAGTTCATACTTGAGGGTTGATTCATACAAAAGCTAAGTGAAATTGACGTCATGAAGAATTTCTTGCGAAACTTGCTTGCATTAAACTGTTTGACTTTTCGAAATATCACAGAACGAATATTTGATCAGACATCACAAATTTGCATTCGTGTTCATCTTTACGTCAAGTATGAACCGGCCTTGATGTGTTGCCTCTGCAGGATGTATTATTTGGCATCGGTTACGGGTATTTGTCACGAAGATGCATGTACAGAGATCATTCTTAAGGGAGCATTTCAAAGGTTGGAACTCTAAAGAATGTTCTAACAAGTACATTGCTTTTTTTCCCAGTTGGGAACATTGGCTTGTCCTTGTTAGAACAATGTATGTTCCTGAATCGGAATAATGTCCATCTGTGTGCGTGTTAGCTCTGGAATGGCATGTTTCTACTAGGAATACAGTGAATTTGCACTAGTTCAAAAAGAAGCATTCCAGTGGGAACTAGAACGTTTTGACATTCAAAATGTTCCTGAAGTTGGATTTGATGGTAGGCCACATGACCAGGGCCCACTTTCACAATCGCTAACCACAGAATTCCGTGCTAACGATCAACGTTATACGCTTACATAGCGAACAGAAACAGTCCTTAGTTACAGGATTTAAACATGAGTATAACCCACATTTTATTGCTACATGTAATTAGTAAACCATGCTACCCATTAACCTTAACCCTCCTCAATCCTTCACCTGTTGGAGGACTGAGGAGGGTTAGGGTTAACGAAGACTTTTCTGCAATAGTTTGCAGCAGTCTTTTGACAATAAAAGTATCTTTTTTTAGTATCCTCTTGTAAACTTTTCAACCTATAAACTTATCAAATCCATGAGGTAATTATTTCTGTGTGCGTTTCCTTTTCTGACCTAGTTTGCCCTACCCTAACCTGCCTTCCTTTCCTATCTCACATACACAAAAAGGTTCAAATTAATAAAATGTAACATTTTGTAGCGGATATTATACTTCATCCAAAAAAAAAAAAGAAAAAGTCACATGGCAAATTGGATTCGATGAGTTTTGTCACCATATTTACAAAGTAAAAGTTTTGTACAGTGAGTTTCATTAGGTTGAGTGTCTCTTTTTGCAGTTTTGGCCCAGTATTTTCGGTAAAGTCCTGGTTATTCCATTTACTTAAGAATGACATGATTGGAATCTGAAGTCAAGTTATAAAGTCTGTCTTAAATTTGCTGTCCTGGCAACCTTCTGCATATCATTTAAATAAATATTTAATGAGGAACCTTCTGTGCTGTGAATCAGTCTTTCATTTTCATGTTACTTGGTTCCATTTCCCTTTTATTTAGATTACAGTTTACTGAAATTAGTACCCTGCATCAAAAATACTACCACCTATTAAGCTTGAATTGAAATTATAGCATCACGGGCAAAGTATTTAGGTTCGTGAAATACATGATACAATTTATGCACTTACAAAAATATTCACCTTGAATCTACTTACACACTATTTACTTGGAAAATACATGTACTTTGAAGAGTTTAGGCAAGATGTACACATTTTTTACTTGAAGTCGTTGAGTGGGCATTGCTTTTAGTAAAGTCTTCCAGGAGTGGTGGCAGGGTTAGTCTTTTGAATGGACGGTCATGTCCAAGATCGCTGTAGGAGTTTATAACACCTCACCCACAGAACCTGTATCTTAATTGGCCGAGAATGAGTCACGTGGCATTTGCCATTTTAGCATCTTGTGCACGGCCAAAAAAGGCAAATATTCATCCAAATGGGCACCACCAGCAAGGGGGGTCAGATTAGTACAGAGGAATTTTCTTCCTCTCTGCAACTCGGTCTCTAATCCTGCCCAAGCCGACCTGGGTTTTGCGTTTTCAGTCCCTACCTACTCAGTGCGTTTCCTCTTGACTATTTATCAGGGGGAAGCTTCTCTTACCTTTGAAACTGAACACTTCATCTTTACTTGCAGTGGTAACTGACACAATGTTGCTTTCTCCCCACATTTCCCTCATACCAGAGGTGACCTGGCTCCCACCAAGATATCCGTCACCTTAGGTTGGTTTGGCACCCTCGGAGCTGGACGGTCCAGCTCCCTCCTGCTCCTCCGTTCTCTTACTGTCTCCCAAGGGCTTGTACTTCCCTTGGCCCAGAAGCGTGGCCAGTATTTCCACATCTGGGTTCATCTGCATGCACAGACCGTACGCTGACAAACCGATCTGAAGGAAGGAACAGTTATGATCAAAAGTTAACGTACACTTTGAAAGTGTTGAAGTACAGCGTTCGACCTTATCTATCCTTAGTAACGATTGGCTTTCTACATATAATAAATCAGAGCAACTACTCGACAGGTTCCTGTAAATGAGATGATGGGCAGGCCAATCAGCTACAGAACAAGTGATAGCAGCCATGAATCGGCAATGCTTCAAAAACTGTAATGTAACATTTCTAGTCCAAGTGTAAGCAAACTTTGACCGTGTAGTGTCATGTAGTTACACATGACGAATCACAGTAACAGGAAAACTGTTCAGAGTCCGGAACTGTTTTATATCCAGTTTATTCCAAAGCATCTTTTGGAATAATAATATTAGAAATTATGAACTGTAATAAATGGAGACTCGGACCACATCCCCAAAATCCAAGGACAGGGGAAAGTTATCATGTGAAGGATCTTTTGTTTTTTTTTGTCAACATGTAAATGTGAAGAGGGAACAGTTTTAGGATATTTCTATTCCAAGCTGGCCATGAAACAACGTATGCTTTTAACTTTTTGTAGACAAATCCCATGACCATGGCAATGCTATCACTGGTCATTTGCAGTGGCCCATACCATAGAGGAAGGACACAGAAGGAGTTTGAAATGCCCAGGGTATCATCTGGCCAATTACCACTTTCTGGCACTGTATGTCCCTAGCCAGAGCACAGTGAGCGCTTGCTACGCACCATCTGTTTTACAACCACAAAACTCCTTTGTACCCTAGGATTGCAGCCAAAGTTTTCACTGGTAACCTGTTACACATACAAATGTGCTTGTGACATTAACTTTGGTACTCTATTAGCAAAATGCCCAATTAGGGTTGAAGAAAGCAAAGCAGCACAAGAACAGTGTGATTTGCAAAACAAAACTGGAATGCATGAGATACCTCTGTCTTAAGAGCTCCATCTGCCCCAGCCAAGAGTAGAATCCTGACACATTCCTCGTCTTTCAGGACGGAATTATGAAGTGCAGTAAAACCGACCTTTGTCATCCAAAATGGGGGAGAAAACCAAAACTTTCTGTCCAATTATTTTGAGATCTTGTGTTTTGTGTTCTCTATACCACCCAATTCTGTTCAGTACATAAATCAAAGCTTGGACTCAGGCTGGAGTGAAAGTGCAGAGTAGATTTTCTTAATATCCTTTGACATACTGATTGGCCTTTATGACATTCTGCGTCTCATACTTCAATTGAATCCAAGTGCTGTTTTTCCCTTTGAATGGCAGTTACAACCTATTTCTGACTGACAAAATGAGATATTCTGGAACAGTTCATGTGATATACTTCACCGATTGCCTGCAGTCGGATTTCCTCTAATTCCAAATAACAGCATGCTGCTGGAAACATATCAGTTCTTTTTATTTAAAAATTTTTTTTTAAGAACTTCATCTCAATCGAGTGAATCTCAATAGAGTGTAATTTTCAGGTGTGTAATCAATCCTACTGGCTTTTCACATCTGGTCAACGGGTGAATCCAACTTGAAAGTTGACACAATACCAAATGATGGCGCACGGAGCTGGGCCTACTCACCTTATCCACGGCATCGACGGCAGCACCTTTGTCGAGGAGGTACTGCAGTGACTTGGCATTCCCACCGGCGGCGGCTGAGTGCTGGGGCAAAGTGCCTTTCTAGAAACAGAACAATCAAATCTAATGCATTTACATGAGGTTCCATCTCTACACGTTCATTTGAGTTGACACAGATCACCACTAAACATGACACCAACTATGGTTGAACAATAATAGTCAATCTCTCATTGTCAATGTGCTTCCATAATTACTAATCCTTCTGCACAAACAAGCCCAATGAAAGTGGCAGAGTAACTTCATGTATATTTTATATTGTGCTCTGGTAGTCACTGCCATTTCGCCTGACAACTATCAAGTTGATGGTGTCCTCCCTAACAAGAAAATGGCTACTGCGAACCAGCCGCACAACTGTGCCCAGAGGGCCGGTTCCAAATAGTCTACAAGAATACAAGAAAAAAAAAAATCTCCCCGAGGCAAGCCACATCTTGAAATAGTTCACGGTCCCCACTGCTACATCTGACTTCGACCGGCCAGCCGAGCGCGGCAAGCATGGTGCTCAAGTGGTTAAGACGTATGTGCTAGTAAGCAGGAGGTCATGGGTTTGAGTCGCACCCAAGTAACCTTGTGATTTTTTTTTGAAAGATCTCGGACAAGCACTGAGTATATCGTGTTTATAAATATATACATCGGATAAGGGCAAAAAACTTGTAATTGAAGAACACTTCAATCATCCTGTAATCCAGTCAAGTTAGTCAAAATATCCTCAACCATAACTTGTGCATGAATTCGATTCATCTTGAACATCTGTCCAAAACATATGGCATCAATAGTACAAGCTGTTGTTCACAGTTGTTCACCTTGGATGCTATGTCCAGACGAGCTCCGGCATCAAGCAGCAATTTACAAGAATCTGCACTGTTACAGGCAGCCACATGCAATGCCGTCCGTCCATCCTGGAGAGAGAATTAACGCTAGCACATCAGAACCGCTCCAATCACACACTGTCACCAAGAACTAAATGAATGTGTTTTAATTCACACAACTGCATTTTTACCCTCACCTGGATGATCTCTATGAACATCTGGAAATGAGGATGACACAATTAAGATACAAACCTCATTCTGGGCATCCAGTTGGCAGCCAGCCTCGATGAGAAGCTTGGTTCCTTCCGAGTTTCCCTCGGCTGATATAAAAAGTGGAGTAGATCCATCCTAATCAACCAATTGAAAATGCATAGCATGGGAGATTCTGTAGTGGTACGTTTGGGACCTGATCTCAGAGCCTGACAATGCCTTGCATTAACCACCTGCTGCCAGGTGGAATTTGAAGTTGCATGACGTAAAACCGGGAGATTTTCAAGATTTTCCATTTTCCAAATTCTTCAAAAAATCGTAGCTTCATTAACTGGACATTTTCACCCACAAGAATAACTGTCTGGTGACTTTTCTAATCTGAAAAACCACATCTATTGATGCCTGAGTATTTCAGCCAGGCTTGCAGCCTTGTAAAAAGAGCCCAGATTGTGCGGTGTTATGTAACTTCTTTTGTTCCCGCTGGCACAGTGCGCTACTGGCGTCTTTTGTTACAAGGCCCAGCTCTTTCGTCCAGTTTTGGGCTCTCCAGTTTTGCGTATAAAGCCTATGTGCCTGAAACCGGGCTACCGGCAGCATATGGTTAATACTGAATTCAAATGGCAAGTGTTTTTCTATGTTCATTAACTGTTCTTAGATTAGTCTGTTGTGCATTGTACTGTCCGATGACCATCCAAAAACACCAGTGACAGCATGTTGTCTGACCTTACCATTCAAACTCTTGAAACCTGGAAGCATTTGTCACACAGAAACAAGCTTCCACAGACCAATTTTTCAGTTTCATAGACACAGATCCAATTTCTCAGCTTTTGTAATAAGTTCAAAATAAGTTTCCCTTGAACACATTTCTAATGGAGAACAGAGAAATGCCAAGACCTTCAGAATAAAATGTGTTAAAAATACTTAGGAGCTTTCCAACTTTTATCCAAGACTTCAATTTGAAGAGCCTTCCAAATTTTGAACTCACATTATGAGCTATCATCAGCTGAAAGCGGTCAAAGCAGAGAGATGATTTCTAAAACCCTGGAGTCATGATCTCTATATTGGCTTCCACTCCTATCTGATGCCTACCTATTTGAATTCTGATATGCAGTTTCCCTTGCCTATTTATCAGAGTCACGTCAACTGCCTCAAAGCTCTGCTACGAGACCCCCTTCCTCCACACTGCCAATCAGCGTTATGAGTGACATTAGTCGAACCAATCATATACAGTGCTTTCCGGAGCTTGTACCAATGTGAGGGTAGACTGGGACTCACCTGTGACCGAGCATTAACACTGGCTCCTGCCTCAATGAGCAATTTCAAGCTTGCCGCACTTCCACTGGCTGCATTGAAGACCGGCGTCATCCCATCCTGAACACGACAATCAAAACCACACAAAGTCATGTTTTACCATACCACAGAGGACAAGGCATTCTTTCCTACAACTCCTTAAACACTCCCCCCCCCCGCAGACTAAGCAGAGGCACTTACTACAGAGGATAAAACTAACAAAAGGCTGACCGGTGGAGGACAGAAAAAAATCGTTAACAACCTTTTGCATGTCCATCCTCTATACAGGAACTGCAGCTTTGGGTACGAGCATGATGACATTCATTCATTACTTAAAGGAAACAGGAAATAGAAATATTTTTATAAATTTTACTGAAACACTTGAAATTGCATCTTTGGTTTCAATTTACCTTTTTAAAAAATTTTTGTTTTGCAATTTTAACCCATATTTTGATGCTTTTTTGGTTTTTATGCTAATGCAATTTGCATATTCATGAGCAGAACTATGATGTCATCCAAGGCACTGAATCTCAATGTTGCACTGATCTGTGCACAGAAAATTTCTAGATTTTGTTAACCACTGCTATGGCAGATTTCATTTTCTTTGGCAATTTATTGAATCCTTTTCACAGAAATGTTCCCAGATAGCAAATTTGGGTTCACAATTTGAACATGAAAACCTGAACCATGTGTTCCTGGATTTAAATCAAATCAAAAGCGCCCTCACTTGTCCAGAAATGCTTGGTCAAGAGAGTCATGTTGGCGAGGTAGTTCTTTCCTCGCCTTCCACCTCTGTGGTCCCGGGTTCGATTCCTGGCCCAGTCCACAAGTGGATTGTGTTTTCAGTCCCTACCTGACTCTATGGGTTTTACCCAGAATGTTCCTCTGGGGTTTTCCTCCCACCTCTAAAACTTTAACTTCTTCTTATAGTCTCCTCTTTACTGATGTTGGTGAATGTGGGTCATTTGGCGGCTGCCTGAGGCGCCCTTGTATGCCATCGGCTCAACCATTTTTAAATGCATTCATTGTTCCACGCTTAATGTCTTCATTGTACAGTGCATTTGAACATATCGATATGAAATTTGCACTTTATAAATAAATAAAATATTATTATTATTATCAATTTTTAATGAATGAAAAAGTGCACTGCTCAGTTCACCTAACTCAAAAAAGATGTCAAACTGTCTTCATACATGGATGAAGAGTACAGAGATACACAGGAAGGGATTCTAAGAAAAATTCATTTCCTGGATCCTTTAAATATCAATTATTTCCTTCAGTTGTACCTGTACTGCGCTTTTGATCATTTTGGAAATGGGGCATGATAACTTTTCAATTATTATTATTATGAAAACACAACCAAATTTACCATTGGCTTGGGCATAAAATCAAATAAGAGCAACACTTTTGAGTTTCTATTAGATTCTAGAAGAATCCCACAACAGTTTGCTCTTTGGAAATGAGTCGCACGAACAAGAAATGTAGACTGCTGAAACAAACTAGCGACAGTGAGCAAAGCTTGCACATGTGGCACTTTGCCCTGAGGGATGCGGTTGCTAGGTTACAAAGCACCCCCTCTTGTTTACTTGCAGAACCTTTACTATCGAGGGAAACACACCGTTGTTTTAGCTTCGACGTCAGCACCTTTAGCCAATAAAGCCTTCACAGAATCAGGATGTCGTGTCGCTGCCTTGTGAAGAGGTGTCCAACCATGCTGTAAAGAGAAAAATATTCAGAGAAAACAATCAGTTTTGAAAACAATCACATCTTGGAAGTGACGGGCAAAACTTGAGTACCACTGATTCATAAAACAAGAGCCTTACGCTGAAGCAGTGGGCAAATCTGAACCGCATCACCAACTTAAAATGGGGACCATGTTTGGCACAAAATAATATGGGGTCACTTTTAGTGAATGACGCAACTCACCCGATTTCGTGAGAGGATGTCCGCCCCTTTATCGATCAGGAACTCAATAGCTTTTGCGCTGTTCATCCTGGCTGCAGCATTCAATGGGCTATCCCCCGACTGAAATTTGACAATTATGAAACAGTCTGAAAAACAGGGCAAACTGTTTTCTCCACAGGACCAATTCAAAAAACCCTTACATAGATTGTATTCACATGTCGGCCATCTTGAATTGAAAGTGAGGTCAAACTTTTAGCTCACAGAACCTGAGAGTAAAAATAACAGTTACAAAATAAAAGTTTAATACTATAACGGACCTCTTAATAAGGTCTATTTGGGAATTACCTACAACAGCATTTTGGTGTAACATAAGTTGAAGTTTCCTGTGTGGCCTCAGTTTGAATGGACCATTCCACCGACCCATCTCACACTGCCACCAATTTGTATGGGCAGTAAAAGTTGGCTGAAATATCACCCCTGGTTGGTGTCAGGTTTTATCTTAAAATGTACGAGAAGCCAAATTGCTTCCACGATTTGGCATTTAGTTGAGTGCTTAGAAGTTGTGGTGGTAATACCGGTGAGAGATTTTCTAACATGTCAACAATAAAATTTTCTTTTAAGTATCTACAGACTGTTGGAACAAAACGTAAGTGTGATGTGAAAAGAACGGATCTCATATCAAGATACACTGAGATTCCTGAGACTATTTCATCAAGAAGGTAACCTGTTCTCAATATGAAAGGGAACCGCTCTAAATGAAACATTAAAGGTCCTACAGATTCTTGACAGAACATTTGGTTGATATACACTTACATCCTCTGTCACCACAATTACCTTGTTGGTGATTTCCAGGCTAGCCCCTTTGTCCAAGAGATGTTGGATTGACTTGACGTTATCTCCAACTGCTGCCAGAGTCATGGGCACATTACCATCCTGGGCATTAAGAAAACCAAGCCTGGTGACTAATTAATCAACCATAATAAAACAAAAAAAAAAAAAGAAAAGGGGTCCTTAATCAAGACAGAAAACAAGAATCATCTGTGGACTGCTGCAGTGACTAAATCTATGGGCTCTGTGCAGAAGTACCCCCTCACTGGTGACAAGGAGAAAGGCTGTGCTGACAAGTGAATGCTACATACTGCTATCAATGCGATAAGGTCCAGCTTATCCAATGAAAGAGTTGGGGGCCTTCAAAGACACCATGGTGTGCCAGAAAACTCTTATACCCACACCAACAACCGTAATAACGAAAGATTCCACAAAGTTATGAGTAACTCACAACAAACTCAAGATATGGTGGGGCATCTGTCAAATACATCATCTTGACTAAGCTGGACCCAAACATCAGAGGGCGCTGTTGATACTTACCTCATCAGTGCAGTCATGCTTAGCCCCTGCATCCAGCAGTATCTTGCACACTGCTTCATTATACCTAGCTGCATGGTGTAATGCAGTTTTACCTGTCTGTAAAACAAAAATGTCAACAGATAATTGAATCTGGAAAACTAATTCTGGATTATCGCTCTTGAAAATAGTTCTAGATCATTCAGAGGTCACAAACATTCCAGCCCCTTGGTGGCACCTCCACTTTTTTCCTCTGTATCTCAACCTCTTTCCCTTTGGTCACTTCCTTTCATTGACAGCTGTATGCCATCTACCTTCAAGTCATGTCTTCTATGCTATGAGGCCCTTCAGTAAGATTCTAGTGAAATCATTATGTAAAAGCCTTCATGTTGTAACTTTTGCACAGCAAGCTTACTAAATGCAGGCATTTCACATCTCTCCAAAAGATTGCAACACGTTGGCCACTCACAGTGTGTGAAAACTGTTGACCCAATCGGTGTTTGGAAAGGGTTAACAGATTTCGCGCACTGATTGGTCAATGCGTTACAAACTCTTGGAGGCGCAATATTGTGAATCAGCCGTTTTTGACAAGAAGTTTGTAGCAGTTTACTGTCTCTTAAAGTTCAGACCAGTTTTGGCCCTATTTCCAAGGACTTTAATAGAGATGGATTTTTGTGTCAGGACGTGAACACTTTATGTCTGCACGAGTGTGCAGGTCGTGGGTTCAAGTCCCATCCAAGCAAGCTTTTTTTTTTTGCACAAGCTCCAAGGTCCCAAGGACCACACCCTGCTCACTAATTGCTCTAGTGAAAGGACAACCATAATTATCAACTATTTGCTGTCATCTTTGTACATGATCTTTTATCTCCATGTCTGCTCCTGCCTGCAGCAATGCCTGACATACGCTGGGGTCATCATCCTCGTCAGTGACCTCATGCAGAGGAGAGCATCCAGTTGACTACAAGATGACAGAGAAAAAAAGACGGATTACAGTTGTTTTTTACTCAACTGCTTGTTTCTAATTGCCAACTTAAATCCCTTCCCCCAGGAACTGTGTATCATTTATCTGACTGCATCTCATGCATACACATTTGCCGAATGTCTGCATTTTTCTCTCTTGAAATAACTTCCAAACTTGTCAGGGTTTCTTCATCAGCCAAATATGAAAACATTTTGAGAGAAACATATTTTGCTATTTTTCTTTCAAACATATTTTATATTGGCAAATAATACCACTGCTTGTCATATCCCTACATTTACCGACACCGTTTCAACTGGTGTCAGCTTTATAAAAGGGAAAAACCACTAGCACAGTTAAGGCTGCCCTTGTTGATTAGTACAAATTGTAACAATTTTATTTCCTATGGATTCAATAGAAACCTTCAAGAATCAACAAATCTACTGGTAGTAATGACAGGATTTTACACTTGGGAGTTTGAGCAAAGCAACAGAAATTCAGTCCTCAGTAAAGTGAAGCTGTCATCATCCATGGCAAGTGAGTAACACTGGGGGAAATTTGCACCACCTTTGTGAGTGGTACGCCAGTAGATGAGCCACGTATTAGTCACAGATGCACTGCAAAACGTTACCTAAGGTAAAGCAATAAATAATTGCCTGTGTGAATTTATCATGACAGAAATATATGAATACATTCATTCTGTGGCCAACCTGCCCAAAAAGATTTCAAATTCTGCATGCACAGTTCTGGTTGGGTGTGTCATACTCACATTAAACTGTACATTGACATCTGCACCAGCATCTATGAGCACCTGACAACACTGTGGAGCCTTGGATGCAGCGATCAGAATGGCCGTCTCTGCCTCCTCGCTCTAGAAAGACAGAGATGAAGAGGCCTGCATGACTTATGCTTACAGGCCAAGTAACTGGTAACCAACACATTACATAAGTCATAACAACAATGTGAGAACCTTGCTTGATTTTGCCTAGTACCCTGTGTGGTAGTTACCAGGGAATATTGCCCTGCAGTTGAAATACGGTCATCGCTCAAACTTTCTCCAGTGTTAGCCTTGCTTAATGGGCCTATGAAGTACTTGGAATTCATCACAGCTCTTCAGTGATTATTCATTCTGTGTCGGTCTAGTATATGGGAGCTTTTTAATCTGGGATTCATAGCAACTTTTCACCATTACGCTTCAGTCAGGTTTACCAGGTTCAGTTTAATGAAGTACCCAATGCTGAAACCCTTAGGCCCAATGTTGTAAAGTGGTGATTTCCTCACCTCTTTGACCTAGGTCTGGTGCCCGTTTGCATTTGGTTACAAGTATAGATCCAACTTCGTGGGTTTTAACTAGAACACTCTTCTGGGGTTTCCTCTCTTCTCAAAAACTGTAACTGCTTCTCACTGCCTCCTCATTATTGGTTTCTTCTGGTTTGTGTGAATTACAGAACCTAGGATACATTTTGAGGAATCCTTGGTTTCATTACCAGAGATACTTAATAATAGCCAAGTTGAACTCACATCGAGTGGTGCATTGACATCTGCCCCACCATCAAGCAAAAATTTACAGGCCTCTGGGCTATGCTGAGCTGCATAGTGAAGAGGTTGCCTCCCTCCCTAGAAGACAAACAAGAGAAATAATTACCCATCGGCTAAAGGTTTAGAGTGAAGAACATAATAAGTTAGATTTCGCATGGTTAAAGCTACCAGACTATTAATATCAAAGAATTCAGAGTGTTACCAATACAACTTACATGTACATGCAAGCTTTGAGTTCAAATGCCATGCAAAGACAGTTACTGATTTACATTTGAAATCTGCTAGCTCTGGTTTCATTTGTGAAAAAGAAAACCACTTGGACAAAAATTATTTTGTGAAATTTCACAATAATGTGATGAATCACCAACTATACGTTTTATACTGTAACATGAAATGTACAACTACTTGCTTTAGTTCTTAATTTACAGTGGGATCCAATTGGTTTATACAGCAAGTGGGTGTGTCTTAAATCACTGACTGGGCAATTCTGCATTCTGATTGGCTGGCACATTTAATGTAGTTCGAGCAATAATGTGAAGGCCTAGGGCCTTTATAGCCTTTAATATATTGTTTCCAGAACTTCCAGAAAAGTGGGGACAGAATGTAAGTCCAAAAAGTTTCACTGCGTCCATTTTCTTGTCCAGTCTGTCCATCCAGTCCACAAACACATGTAATCCACAAAGTCCACAGGTACATTTAATCCACAAATCCCTAGGTATATGCCATCCACAAAATCCAATCCACGGAATCCCATCAGGTCCACTGATCCCCTATATAATCGTCCCAAAGTGACTGGCTCGCCAGTCAGTTTGGGATGTCCGGGGTTAAAACCCCGGACGTCTAGTCGTCGCCAGGTGCTGTGGCCTTCAACCGCAGGGACTGACTGTTATTGAGCAAGACCCAAGGTATGGGAGGTTTTGACGATGGCCGTTACAATAATGACACCATCATTCCACAAGATATTGAAGGGACAGATTTCAAGATTCTTCTTTAGTTGACCTTCATCTAATTTCACATGCGTATACTTCAAAGGTGTCACCTTTCACAACTGACAAGACCAACTAGATTTTCTGAAAATTGATATCACCCAGTTAACTCATGTTTGTAACTGATCAAACATGTCCCGTCTTGTTTACATTTTAGCCTTGGTTTGATAAATGAGAAGGCTTGAGAAAGAAGTCAGACACTCCTGTTTTTTCTATACTTTGGACTATCAGGGATCTGCCGCTGCCGATCGGCGCCGGTCGGGCCCGACCGACACGCAGAATTGCCGACCGCCACAATCTGCCAAATCAACTTTTCCGACCGGCACGTATTCCCGACAAGAACCCAAATAAAATAGCATT